CTTTAAGGTGCCACAAACTTTTGTCTTTTAGTTTTACTCTTTTGTTTTGTTTTGTTTCTTTGGATTTTGCCTGATACAATTTACCCAGTCACCCTATTCCCAGCTACCATCCTGTTGCTGCCCAGAGGAGCAGGGGAGCTTGGGTTTTTCTCTTTGATAGACACATGTACATTTTGGACTACCTGGGCTAGCCTTGCTTTTTCTGTCTTACACCTTTCCATGGCAGCTGTCTGGCCCTAGTAAAGGGATTTCCTGTAGACTTTTTCTTGCCACTCCTGCTCAGGGGTCCCCCAAGGGGCCCTTAACTCGACCCATTCAAATGTCCACAGAATGTCTTCCTTCACAATCACCACCCAACCTGTCTCACTCTGTTCTCTTCTTTATCCTTCTATATTCCAGCACCCTTCCTCAAGCCCTTTTCTCTAACTACCCCTTTCCTCCCTTGCTTCATTCTTTTATATCTTTTTCTCTTCCCACCCAAATAACCCCCTCTGTTGGTGTGTTCTTTGCTGGGTTTTCTGACTTCTCCTAAAGTCATTACAGTGGTGCCTCAACTTACGAAATTAATCCGTATTGGATGGGTGGCTGTAACTCAGAAATTTTGTAAGTCGAAGCACCATTTCCCATAGCAATGCATTGACAACCATTTAATCCTTTCCAGCCAAAGGGAAAAAAAGCCCGGGCTTCCAAAGCTGCATGCGCAAGCCTGTCCGCGGGGACAGGAGGTAGAGGGCAGCGGGTGAAGCTTTGGATGCCCGGGAAGCCGAAAGCCTCCCTGACCTCTGCACCCGCTGCTGGCTTCCCGGGTGTCCAAACCCCCTCTGCTGCCCTCTGTCTCCTGTCCCTGCGGGGACGGGAGGCAGAGGGCAGCAGGGACGGCAGACAGAGGGCAGCAGGGGCAGCTTTGAATTTCCCACCCTTTCCCCCTGCCTTTCGTAGGTCGAAGCTCCGGCCGCAAGTCGAACCAAAATTTTGTGGCCGGAGCTTTTTGTACCTCGAAATTTTTGTAAGTAGGGACGTTCGTAAGTCGAGGCCCCACTGTATTGTAGGGTTCAAGGCTTCTTTTGGAAGGGAGGACAGCACACCTCCTTAACATCTAGGCTGTCCTCCTCCAGCTCACAGTCTCCTGGACCCATGGACCATCAGGCAGAGTAGGTCAGCGAGAGAGTGTCTTACTCCTAATTGTTTGGGTGCAAAGGCCACCCTGGGGCCAGGTTCAGCTGGATTTTTGTCTGCATTCCCCCAAGTAGCATCTGCCACCACTTGTTGTATAAACAGAAACAATGGATGATAGTTCCTGGTTGCTTTTTTTAAAAAGCATTTTTCCTGATGGAGCTACTAAACAAAGTTGTATGCATTTTTGAGAATATGGAGCTACTAAACAAAGAAATATAAACCAAAAAATGGGAAAAGCCACAATTGTGACAATATACACGAACTAAACCAGAAGACCCATAAGTGAAATTATATATATATATAATTTATATATATTGTCACAATTGTGACTTTTCCCATTTTTCGGTTTATATTTCTTTTTTTAGTTGCTCCATATTCTCAAAAATGCTTACAACTTTGTGTGTGTGTGTGTGTGTGTGTATACACACATACATATATACATACACACACACACATACACACACACACACATACATTGGTGCCTCCCTTAACGAGTGCACCGTATAATGACGAATTCGCATAGCGATCCGTTTTTTGGGATCGCTAATGCGAAGGCATACCGACGGTTCCAATGGGCAAAAATTGCTTAGCGACAATCAGTAAGCGTTTCACTTACCAATCTTCGCATAGCGTTTTTTAAAAATCAGCTGATCGGCGGTTCCAAAATGGCCACCGGAAGACCCAAAATGGCCACGCGCAGCGTTTTCGTGCCCTGCCCTCGCTTACCAAGGGCACGAAAATGGCTGCCGCTATGGGGAAACATCGCAGAACGGTGAGTTTTGGGCCCATTTGGAACACATTAAACGA